GCCGAGTTCAGGCAATGACTGGAGAAGAGCTGGAGGGGAGGCAGGGCAGCCCCTAAGTCAGTGGGGTCTAGAGATTGTGGCCTCACATGCACACAGATTCAGCCCCTTTCTCTTTGGTAGCTATTGCAATAGAGCGGCTTAGGACTCCGACCCTGAAAACTATGAGGAGGGGAAGGGGAAACAGGAGGAGAACGGGGAGATGGGGGAAGACGGACAGGAGAAGGAGGAGGAAAAGGAGGAGGAGGAGGAAGAGGAGGAGGGAGAGGAAAGACGCCAGCCTTACAATGGAGGTCCCAAATCAATAAGTGCAGAGAATTAATGATGTCCTGATTTTCTGTTGGTGTCAGGATGACAAATTGCAGAGTTAGAAGAGAGGCTTCTCATGACTGTCAATTTATGTTTGTACAACATTATAACCAAAAGCAAGTCAGAGATATAGTGGAAGTTTAGGGAAGCTGGCTGTGGTTTCAGACGCCTGAGGATCTACACCTCTGTCTCCTGATACATTCTAGACCCAGGATGTGTCTTGATGAAGGACTTGGTGGGGCGGGGTATGGTATAGGGAACCTCAGGATCATTTTCAGTTTGGAAGATTTAAGCAAGAACATGAAAGTTCTGGACACAGATTTTCTTTATTGTGTAGAGTTTGGAGTGAAGGAGAGTGATGTAACAAGGCCCATTCTGTGTCAGGAGAGGGGTGTGCTGTCAGGAGCTCTGGGGCTCCACCTCAGCCCTGCCGTGTCTGGGTGACCTCCGATGACACACAACCTCTCTGGGCTCTTCTCTTTCTTCTTCTTTCTCTCCTCTCCTCACCTCTCCTCCTCTCCTTTATCTTTCTCTTTCTTCCCTCCCTCCATTGTTTTCCCTCCCTCCCTCCCTCCCTCCCTTCCTTCCTTCTTCTCTCCCTCCCTCCTTTCTTGTTTGCTTTCTTCTTTCTCTTTCTCTTTCTTTCTCCTTCCTTTTCTTTCTTTCTTTTTTTCTTCTCCTTCCTTCCCTTCTTCCTTTTTTTCTCTTTTTTCCTCTCTTTCCTTCCTTCCTTCCCTCCTTCCTTTTACTTTTTTCTCTTTTTTTCCTCTCTTTCCTTCCTTCCTTCCCTCCTTCCTTTTTCTTTTTTTCTCCCTTTTTTCCTCTTTTCCTTCCTTCCTTTTTCTTTTTTTCTCTTTTTTCTTCTTTCCCTTCTTTCCTTCCTTACCCTCCCTCCCTCCCTCCCTCCCTCCCTCCCTCCCTCCCTCCCTCCCTTCCTTCCTTCCTTCTTTCCTTCCTTCCTTCCTTCTTCCCTCCCTCCCTCTCCCCTTCCTTCCTCTCTCTCTCTCTTTCTTTCTTTCCTTCCATAGCATCTCACTCTGTTGCCCAGGCTGGAGTGCAATGGCACGATTATAGCCCACTGCAGCCTCTAACTCCTGGGCTCAAGCAATTCTCCTGCCTCAACCACCAGAGTAGCTGCGACTACAGGCGCACTGCCATGCCTGGCTAAATTTTTAAATTTTTATTAGACATGGGGTCTCACTGTGTTGCCCAGGCTTATATAGACTGGTCTCAAGCTATCCTCCTGATATCCCCCTCCCAAAGTTCTGGGATTACAGGCGTGAGCCACTGTGCCTGGTCTGGGCTTCACTTTCAACATGAGAAGTTATTATGATCCCTCAAATTTTAGTGCCCTATTCTTCCATGTCCTGCCATCTAGCACATGCCCTAAACAGAAGGAAATCAAATGAACCAAGTTTTCCTGCTTGTTTCTTCCATTGTCCTCCCTTCATTCCTCTACCTTAAGGCAGTACCTTCCACCAAAGGACCACACCTTGGCGTTGCAGTCAAAACAGAGCTAAACTCTGCACAGCCCAGAGAAGCTGATTTTCTGGTCTTCGGAGAGTACAGCAGACATGGAGCTGTGCTTTCTCTTTTAAAAACAGATTCATTGCCCAGTTGTCAGGATGCTGTTAGCTGACAGCTTCCAGCCACCAACTCCTTCCACTCTACTTATGTTTGGAGGGGTTCTCTGGTTCTTTTTAGGGTGACTTGGCCTAACACTAAGCTAGGTGGGAGTGCAAGGGCCTAGCCATTCCCACCCAACACTGGGTCTCTGAACAGGCAGTTTTTGCTCCTGAGAGTCCGCTGGGCTGGCAGAGGCTCTGCCAGGCTGCAGCCCCCACACAATTCCACTTCTTCCCTTTCCCTGTCACAAGCGTTAGTTCTCTCTTGGCCTCTCAGGGGACCTAACAGACACAGAGATGCCAGTCATTTGCAAAGCATGTTTTGTTTTTTCTCCACAGAGGGCCTTTGATAGGCTTCAGAAAGCCATCTTTGGGTGACAAGATACTTGTTTTTGTAGCATAAAGATCTTCAGCACAGATTTCTTTCTCATTCTCTTATTCACAGAAGTGGAGAGGCTTAGTTCCCATCAGGTCTAGCTAGTGTTTCTCAACCAGGAGTGCATGCCAGAATCACCTAGAGACCTTTTCAGTGTGCAAGTAGGCAGGCTTCACATGCGAAGCTAGACTTGGTGGTTTGCAACGTACCCCTGGTTGAGAACCGGTGGTTATAGCATAAAATTCTCCCTTGTATGAGCCTCTTTCAGATATTAGCATTCATCCTACTGAGGATCATTCCAGAAGCTGAAAATATACTGACATTAAGTGGTCAATTAAATGATGCCTAGTTTATTTCTTTTCTTTTCTTTTTTTTCTAGAGACAAGGTCTTGCTATGTCACCCAGGCTGGAATGCAGTGGTGCCATCATAGCTCACTGTAGCCTTGAACTCGTGGGCTCAAGCGATTCTCCCCGTTCAGTCTCCTCAGCAGCTGGGACTACAGGCACACACTACCATGCCCAATTAATTTTTTTTTTTTTAATTTTTCATAGACATGGGATCTCGCTATGTTGCTCAGGCTGGTCTCATACTCCTGGCCTCAAGCGATCCTCCCACCTTAGCCTCCAGAGCTTATTTCCAGATATTTTTATAAGTCCAGCTAGTAGTGCTGCAGACTCATTTCAGAGCATGATGAATCTTCTTATAAATTTAGGGGAAGGTGTTGGGAACTTTGGCATTATTTTTAATTTTGAAGATTTACATGAAAGCACAGAAGTTACGGGGCCATAGATTCCCTTTACCGAGTAAGGTTTGGTAAAGTAAAGAGCTTTGCATTTACCTTCCAGGGAACCTGGAAATAAGGCTGCTGCATCCTGTCCTTTCAGGTTCCCTGTGTCATTGCAGGAGGCTGTACTCATGCTTATGTTTTGTTTCACAAGCTAAGTCCTTGACAGCATCAGCTGGGATCCCAGTCTTCTCTCATGTTACCCAGTGAGAACTCACTCGCATAAATGTCAGGGGAGAATACTTGGCCTTCATGTTTCCTGGATCACTGAATAAAATCCCCTATGATGATCTGTGTGCATATTTGGCTTTGCTGTTCGGTTCCAGGAGTTTTATTTCAAGGCAAAGCTTGTATCTGAAGATGCCATGAGCTGAGATTGTCTAGGACTGAGAAGCCCTAACTTCCCAAGGACACTAATCCTGGAAAGAAGAAAGAGGGGGCATTTTTCCTGAATGTGAAATGTACCCAGAAGGAACTGCTTGGTATTTAAAAAATACTTCTCACTCTATCTTTAAAGCCAAAGAGAAAACACCGAAGTCCGAAGGGAATGCAGACAGACTGACTGCTATGAAAACTTTCTCTTAGCAAAAGTTACACCTTCCCTAAGGGACAGCTGGAGGGTGGAGTAAACTGAGTGAACTGGGGAAATCAAGACTCTGCTGAGCTCTGAGGTGTGAAAATAGTACAGAGGAACTGGTTCCTGAGCGCACACCAAGCTGGGATACTCAAGGAAATAAAGGGGAATTTAAGTGACTGTGCTGAGACTGTTCCTGGATGTTTAGCAGCACAGGATTAAGTATTAATTTAATGCTTCCTGAATCCAACACATGCTATGCTCATTCTTTAAGTGCATAAGGCAGAACTTGTGAATTAAGAGAGCTGCCCTCTGCATGAGTAGGCAGCAGGGCCCTGTGGCAGAGGAGAAGCTGCCTCTGCATGCGAGCGTGGCCTCATCCTCCCGCCCACTGACGCGTAGCAAGGCACGCACTGAACATCTCAGGGCGTCCCTCTCCTTCTTGCAGGGTTATTTCAAGGATTAGCTGAATATGCATGTGGATATGCTTAATAAATTTGCAAAGTGCTATGCAAATGTGGGCTTTTATTTATTTTTTAGAGAAAAGCCTCACATCAGGATTGGCTGAGTATTACCCAAACAGCACAGGGCCCAGTGGATGGACTCCAGCTCAGACAGGCAGACCTCAGTTGGAATCAGTGCTCCTCATTTACCTACTGGGAGACTTCAGAGCAATCAGTCAACCCTCTATGACCCAGTTCCCTCGTACATCAAATGGGGACAATGATCATACCTACCATGATGCATGGTGCTCAGTAAATGTGCGCTGTGATGACTGTAAACCGGGGCTGTCACCAAAAGTAAAACCATGACACAGAGGAAGGAGGAGCCTTGGCAGGAAGTCTTGGGGAGCTGGTGGAAAGTACTTCCAGGGAAAGGCACCCTGCTGCAAGGGCCCATCCTCCTAGAGGATGGCCTGGCTCTGAGTCAGGAGGAGAAGCCGTTGCTCTTGTCTCAAGGCCTATTTCTGTCTGTCCATATCAACTGTACAGCAATTACCCCTAGACAGCAGAGCTCTCAGCTATAATTCTGGAAGTAGCATCATAGAGTGTTTCCAGGTACAAATTCACTTGTAACAACTGTACGTTCACATCACACAAGGAGGACTCGACATGCAAAAACATCATCTCAAAATGGAGCACAGTCGAATTCTGGGGTGGATGCAGGCGGTGGGGAGGGAGGGTGATGGATCTCAAATGTCCAGCCACACTTGAGATAATTCCTGGGCTGGGCAACAGCAATGGCCCTGGGCTGAGGCACATTCCATTATGAGTGGAGTGGGTTTATAATGGAATGACATGGATGGTTTCTTATAATCAGAAAAGCACACTGACCTTCACACTACACAGGTGCAGCAGCATAATGACCCACCACGTGTACGCGCATCAATTCCTGGGGAAAAGTCCAACGAGGTTAACTTAGCGTGTATCCCAAGCAAACAAAATCAGCAACATTACCCGCACAAACAACATTGTTCCCCCCACCCCTGCCAAGATACCTGGCCTGGGCAACCGACGTGCAAAAGGAAACATCACACAAGGACCACACTCATTTTGATAAAGTGGATAAAAAGTTGCAAGCAACATTATTCTGTGCCATAAGCAATTTGATTTGATTTTAAATTTTAATTTAAGGAACGAGACCCATGGGCCTAGAATTTTTTTTTCTTTTTCAAGAAACAAAGAGTTGGTGTAGGTGTTTGTGGGGAAAGAGAAGTTCTGCTCTCCCAGCTGTCTGAGAAGGCCACCTAAAAGCATCCTCACATATGATGCACTCCTGAAGCTCCCTCGACCACAAAGGAGGGGGAATCTACAATTAAACCGCTGAAAATTCACTGCCTGTTTCAGTGCCCTTACTCCCTCAGGCATTTACTCAGATGGGAAAGACTCAAGAAGTGCTGTCCCCTTCCACTTGTTGTCCTGCAGAGTGACTGTCACCACAATCAACTTGGCATCACTGGTCTCACCATTGGCACTTTAGAGCTACCATGTCCAAAATTAGTATATAGGACTTGAGCAGAGATACCAGGCATGGGAAAGTTGCTGATGGCATCGTCTATCAGGGCCCTCTTAATCCAGGTACTGTTTTGGTTCATGAGTCTTTATTCTGATTTGATAACCTCATCTTCCTTTGGAGTTACAGTCACCATGAAAATAATCAATATGGCCTGATTCCAGAAAAAAAGCAGTCTATGATGTCAGCATTCCCAAACCCCGATGGAACCTGAAGCTTTGCTGACAAATGAATTTGTGTAAGAAACGAGTAGCAAGCTTGCATTCTGGGTGCAGAGATGATGTTCTCAACCCTGGTCCAAGTAGATCTGAGTAGAAGAGGGAGAGAATTCAACATCCACATACTGAGATCCTGCTCTGTGTCCAACGCGCTGGTGGATGCTACTGGACTTCTCAGTGGTGATGCACACCGTGCAGCACCCTTGCTCCTTCCTACTCCCTGCCACAGCCACCGGCTTCCCGGCTGGTTCTCAAGCTGCCCCAGCTCTGCCCCATCTGCAGGCTCCCCTGCACTGCCTTCCCCCTTGGAGAAGCTCCAACTAGGAAAAGATGCAAGAAGGAACACACTAGGGCCATGTCCCTGCCTCTGGCCTCAGTTACCATGTGAACATTGCCAACTCTCCACTTTCTGTGATAGGTCAGAACACTCATCTGATGTCCAAATCCAGTCCCATCCACTGGAGCTTTGCGCAGCCACCCAAGCACCGTGCAAGAAAAACTCAGAGTCTTTATTGCTATGCCCACGCCTCCCTTAAAGTCCAGCCTTAGTCATGGTTCCTTCACCGCTTAGAACTCCCTGTCAGGAACTTGGACAGCTTTCTTTCTCCAGTCCTCTTTTTCCATCCTTTTTGTCCAACCAAGCACTGAGTTCATCTGTTCCTGCCTCTTAATGGTTCTAGAATTTATCTGCCTCTCACCATTTCTGCCTCCTTCAGCATGGACCAAACCTCCCTCTCCCACTCAACTCTCATGGAGCCTAACCGGCCTGCTCATCTGCACCTTTGCTCTTAATACAGTCTCCACAATGGACAGAACACTTTATTGAAAAAGAAAACCTGATGTCGCCCTTCCTTGTTTTAGTGGCTTCACACTTCCTTTAGGCTAAAGCTTTAAATACCAGTTTGAGACTTACTCTATACAAACATGCAAAGCGGATCTGGCCCTCCCTCCTCCCCGGCCTCACTGCTACCTCCTTCCTCCTGACCTGTGACACTCTGTCCACTTGGGAATCCCACAGTCTCCAGAGGCACTTATTTCCCCCTTCCTTGGAGATGCCAGTGTGCTGTCCAGCCAGATGCCAGCCAGCTGCCTGACCTGAGCTGCCCTCAGCCCTTCTTCCTCCACACCCCTTACTCCTTGGCCTTCCCTGTGCTTCCCCTTCCCCCACAACAGAGGCCTGGGAATAGTACCCTGTAGTAATTATTTTTTGACAGTTTTAAAAATAATTCTAATGAACTATTTATGTATGTATTTGTTTAACATCTATCTTGCAAAATTGACTCAGAATTCTCTGGGAGCTGGGGCTGCCATCCTCAGCACTTAGCACAGAGCCTGGTACAGGGTGTGCTCACTGTCCTAAGCCAAATGTTGACCCAATTAATAAAACACACACATGCATGCACATTAGGAGAGTAAAAAGAAGAGGAAAAAAGACCATTCAAATGGGCTGTTTAGACATTATCTATTTAGCACTTAGCACTGGGGATACTGGTGTGTTTCACTTTACAGTTTACTATAAATTGTTTCTTTACAGTTTACTAATTTTTTAACTGCAAAGCTTGACTCTGGAAATAAAAAAGGAATGAGAGCAGAAGTGGAGACTTTATAAAGAAAGTGAATGGGGATCAAAAAGGATCCAGCTCCAGATCCTGGAAGCTTACCCCACTCCACCAAAGAGAACCTGGATGGAACCCTCTTCCATCAGGAATAAACTGGAGCCCAAAGAAATGAAGGAATCAGATGGGGACCAAGGGACCTGTCTACACAAAAGCCACCTGATGAGTACTTCTACTCCCTGCTCTCAGCCCACCTTCAGCTATACAGATCTGCACGGCCCCTTGCTTCTGCCATATGGGATCCAGCCTGACAGCAGCAAATGAGTGCACAGATTTCAGGTAGAGGAAATCCCCAGGAAATGGCAAGGAAGAGTATTAGGAATCAACAAAGTACTACTTTAAAATAACCTGAGATTAGATGATTCTTCCTTCAAAGGCACAACTAGTTTATACACAGCTATACACAGCCAGTTCCTCTGTTGGACTCAAGTGGCCATGACCCTCAGGAAAATCCTCTAGGAGTGCTCGGCACAGGGCAGCAGGAAGTCACGTGGGGAGGGTCCCTCTGCAGACCCTTGCAGCACAGCAACAGGAGAGCAGAGCGGTGTTGGAGGCCCAGCCCTGCCTAAGGCCGCTCCTCCATAGGTCCTGGCTGCCGCACCCTGCTCATGCCCTGTAAACCCCTGGCACCTCTCTAGAGCCCTGTGAATCAACCATCCGACAGGGCCTGTCACTACTTATCAGCACTGACTGGCAGTGACACCACCTCCGAGGCCTGATGCTCTGCCACAGCCATTAGGTCAACTGAGTAGAGTTAGGATCATTAAAAATCAAATGAGCCAAGCAGGATGTCACTCCTCCGTAAATATCGATCTGTCCCTACCCAAATGAACTAAGATTAAAAACCAAATACTAGAAAGCATGTTACCCTTCAGACCATACTGTGATTTACCACAGGCTAAAACAAATTGTTTCACTGTTTTGCTTCCCTCGCGTTTCATTCGGTCTGTCATCTGATAAGTGGAGGATTTTTGGAGGAAGAGGTCAAGATCATTCATGGGTGGAATACATAAAAGCTAGCAATATAAAAGATGACATTTATTTATTTATTTATTTATTTATTTATTTATTTATTTGAGACGGAGTCTCGCTCTGTCGCCCAGGCTGGAGTGCAGTGGCTGAATCTCCGCTCACTGCAAGCTCCGCCTCCCAGGTTCACGCCATTCTCCTGCCTCAGCCTCCTGAGTAGCTGGGACTACAGGCGCCCGCCACCACACCCGGCTAACTTTTTGTATTTTTAGTAGAGACGGGGTTTCACCGTGTTAGCCAGGATGGTCTCGATCTCCCGACCTCGTGATCCGCCCACCTCAGCCTCTCAAAGTGCTGGGATTACAGGCGTGAGCCACCGCGCCTGGCAAAAGATGACATTTAAAAACAACTTTTTTTCCTAATTATAGAAACAAAGTATATTTGCTTTTGAAAAGCCAAGCCATACAGACTACAAACAACAAGATGAACGGTCACTCGGAACCCCACCCTGGAAGAAAGCCAGAAGTCCTGGTTCGGGTAAGGTTCTCTTTTTTATGGGGTGGTTTGAGGGAGGCCCAGCCAGTGTGCCGCCTTCTGGTAGGGACGTGTGCCTACAGGTCTGGGCCTCTAAGAGGGCATCGCAGCTAAGAAGCCCGGGAGTGGCTGGTCCTCAAAGGGGGCTTGTGATATTTAAAAATAATTTACACTTATTTTAAGTGGGTGTATCTGATATCCCCAGAAATCTGGTCAGCTGGGGCAATTGCCCCTCGCAAATCATTGTGACTATCAATTATTTTAAGTTGTCCTAAGTATAGACAATTGGCATTTAGGATTTGTTGAGTTCCAGCAGGAGGTGCCAAGCTGTAGAGATATTTAAAGACATACAATTCCTATTTCATTGACCCCAAACCCCTCAAGGAAATTTACGGCCCTCCTCTTCTATCAGGCAAAGACCCTAGCGCAGTGTTTGCCATCTGATAACTATTTGCCAACAGACCGACCAACCTGGTACAGGAAGGAAGGAAGAGGCTGTGTGTGCATTCCCATATATGTGGTTAATTCCAGAAACGTCACACCAGATACCCTTGCAAAGACAAAGTAAGCTCAGTTGCACATATTTTGAAGGAGATTTTAAAAAATTTTCTTCTTCTTAGAGACCAGAAAATTACATTTGCTAATTTAATAAAACTATGCTTCATTGCGAGAACCCAAGAGGGGGGATGAAGAGTTTCACTAGACCTTCTCCCTTTTGGCTGATGTCACAGCAAGTATTCATCAGCCATCAGCCAGCCTGGATAGGAGGCCAAAAAAGCGGCCGTCTGGTCTCATGTTGGAAGTTCTGTTTTGAACTTTGTGACCTTGATTCCATCAGCATGACTTGGGGTCTGAATGATTTTGTTTTGTCCCAATCTATTTTCTTTCAGTCCCTTGTTTTGATCCAACATCAATTTTCAGGAGATGTAAAATGTACTGTCATATAACATTATGGTGTTATTGTCACTGAATTCATTTTCCTGGGAGGAGGTATCTTTATGATGCAATACCTAATAGCATCATTTCCTGTCAGCAATGACTT